ACCCGGACATTGTTAAGGTATTTTTGTTGTTGTTTGCTGATGATGTCATCATGTTCTCAAGTACAGTGAAGGGTCTACAAAACAAATTACCTTGCTGGAAAGCCATTGCCTTGAATTTAAGCTTAATGTAAATGCAAATAAAACAAAGGTTGTTGTCTTTAAGAATGGCGTTAAACTTGTCCAAATCAGAAAAAATGGCTTTATAACGGAGACTACTTAGAAGTTGTTAAAGGATATAAATATCTAGGGGTCCATTTTGCCAATACGTTATCATGGTATCCTCATGGTAATAGTGCTGCTTTACAGGGACGGAAGGTTTTTATGGGCATTTACAGTAATTTAAAGAAATTGGGCAATGTAAATTTCAAAACATATTTCAAAATATTTGATACAAAAATTAAACCAATTTTGCTATATGGGGCAGAGGTTTGGGGGTTTTCTCGGTTGGAAGCATTGGAAAAGGTTCACTTGTACGCGTGTAAAAAAGTCTTAGGAGTTAAATTAAATACCCCAAATGTGATGATCTATGGTGAATGCGGTCGCTTCCCACTTTATCTAGAAGCACAGATAAAAGTTATCAAATACTGGGTAAAGCTCTTGAATATGCCTGCATCAAGATTTCCTAAGAAATGTTATAACATGATGTATTTGTTTGACACCAACGGTAAATCAAATTGGGTAACGAATGTTAGAAATTTACTAAATCATTGTGGTTTTAGTGATGTATTTTTGTCACAAAAGATTACCTGCCCGAAGTCATTTTATAATGCTTTATCGCAAAGATTAAAAGATATGTACATTCAGACCTGGAACTCATCTTTAATACAGTCGCCCAAATCCACTTTTTACAGTACTTTTAAATCTTTTTTCCATACAGAGCAATACCTACACGATATCAATCTTAGAAAATTCCACGTTTCATTATCCAGATTTAGATGCTCTTCACATGATCTTATGATCGAGAAGGGCAGATATTATAATATTCAAGAGATAACAGATTGTGCAAATTTTGTGCACTAAATGTAATTGAAGATGAATTCCACTTTTTGCTGGTATGTCCTTACTATGCTGATTTAAGGACAAAATATCTACCACAATATTACTATTCACATCCTACCATGTTTAAATTTAATTTGATAATGAACTCTAATAATACAACTTATATTTGTAAACTTGGTATGTATATCCACCATGCTTTTGAACAAAGAAAATAACGTTTGCAAACATTGTGATTGTATGCCATTATTGTTTTTATATTTTGTACTATAGGCCTGTGGCCTCTTCAGTAATGGAATAAAGAGATTTGACAAGGCCCAGGTCGATATTTAACAACTGTGGCCTTACCTAACGAAGTACATATATGAGTACTTTGATTAAGTCAGTGAACGGACTTTGAACACATAATGTGAACGGATGGTATACGTGTTCTGGAATTCCTGCAGTCTACCAAAATCGCCGCGGGAGTCACTGTTGTTTATGTCGAGTTAGTGACGCGAGTTTGATTGGACTAAGCACAGATTTCTTAGTCCAGACAAGAAAAGCTAACCTACTGAGATAAACGGACCAGTAAGTCTAGTTAAAGCGTCCGCGCGTCATGCCGAAGACCCGGGTTCGATTCGCTACATGGCTACAATGTGTGAGGCCCATATCTGGCGTCACCCGCCGTGATATTGCTGGAATATGGCTAAAAGCGGCGAAAAACCATACTCACTCAATCTTAAGTTAGACGATGATATTACATAAATATAGCCCTTTAAACAGACTCCACCCTCAGGCTCCCGAACGCCACACCTCTTTTTTAATTTTTTTTATCACTTTATTTCTTGTTGATCTGGGTACAGCATATCATGCACATTTAACAGGTCAGCATTTTTGTTGCATCACATAGGAGTCAAATTACAAAGTCATTATCTATGTAAATAGATTGTGGCAAGACGACCAAAATGTAACAAAAGTGTCGTATTTGCAGTGAGTGTATGCATTAAATTTGTGTAAGTGGTAATTGTAATTCAATTTTGGTTTCAGACCAGCGAGAGAAGGTACAATGTTTGCTAACTTTCTAGAATATATGTACTCTTTAGTTAATATGAAAATGAAATTCAGTACATCATTTCTTCTCTCTTTGAATCCGAGAATAATGGTTTCTGCGTTTAATTTCAAATGGGTGTCTGTTTCATTTTCATTCCATTCTAGTAGATCTTGCCACAGCTTTTGGACATGGTTGCATTCATATAATAAATGAATGATAGATTCTATTTCAACATCGCAAAATATACATAGTGGTGATTCTATTAGTTTGTATTTATATACATCTTTATTGGTTGTAAGGATCCTGTGGAGAATACGGTATTGAAGCCATCTGTGCCTAGCACTATATGATGCTCGAAATGGTATAAAATTATGTGTCTTCCATAGATTAAGAGTGATATTTATGTTCAATTCTTTTTCCCACTTACTTTGATAAAGCAGTTTTTGGTTTATAGCTTCCTTGTGAAGAACCCTGTTGTAAAATATGCTACATCCTTCCTTAGCTTTGAGTAGTATTTCCAAATTAGGAGGAACAAAAGGTAAATCTTTCTGAATAAATCTTTCCACACCTCTTCCCTTGCCGCAGTACATCAAATCTGATTCCATAGTTTAAGATGCACTCGTAGCCTTCAGTGCAGGAAGAATCATCTGACAGCTGTGATTGGATGATTTTGTGTACGAATTTTGTGTATATAAAATGGACATCCATCCAGTAATTACAATTGACCATATTTTTCTGCATTTAGTGCTGTCTTTTTAAAAAGATGTCTTATGCTGAATGTGTGGAGAGATATGTTCATGGAGGAGATATTTGGTGCGGAACTTTGGTTGGTGTGTCAACTACCTGTACTTTCAAGCCCAAATTGGTGTTTTTATTGTGGCGGTAAGGACATACTCTAAATATATACAGTTAATGGCTGTTAACTACCTGTTTATTTTCAAGACATTATAACGTTACTATAGAAGAAGACTTTGGGAAAACATAAGCTTTTGTGTACCCTGGAACAATGCTGCACGATGAAACGCGCAACGACGAAAGGGAGGTCACTCTGCGAGCCCTTGCACCATAGGGTGTTTTTTCATTCTCAAACGTAACAGGGCCAGTTCAAATTCGAGCTGGTTATGTAGTAACTATTTTGATCGATGTTATATATCGGTATGCTTTATATTTGTTTCATCAGTGTCTCGGAAGAGTAAATCAGTTGTTTTCCGTTACTTTCTGAATAAAACACACCCTCTCACGTTGCCAAAGTGAACGTTCCCTTATCTCTAGATCTGCCACCATAATGGTTTCTCTATAAAAAGAAATGATTATAAACGGCCTGTGGCTGATAACAGGCCGGTCCTGTTTTCTCAGCATCTGGAGGTCAGAGATTACAGCTGTAGAGCTCTCCAACCAACTGACAACCCGTATACAACCCGTATACAACGTTTTTCAAGCTTACCGAAACGTTTCGGTGTAGATTCTTACACAGTTTTCAAGCTTGAAATCAAGAATCTACTTCAAAACGTCCCTCTGTGCAATAAACAAGAAGGTGTTACCCATAAACTTCTAGAATGCCAATCAAACAATCAACCCGAACAGAAATGGTTAGAAGCGGTGTAAAATCCATACAAACGGGCTTGCCGGTGAAAGGGAGGTAACTCTTGGGAAGGCGTGAGCGTTGTGTTGATCCTTACAAGCCTTCGAACAGCCTCAAACACCCAGTGTAGTCCACCATTATGTTTTATGCATCCAGGATTTGGGAGAAGTGTGTATGTGGGTGCGTGCATGCGTGTGTGTGCGGGCGCGCGCGTGTTTGTGTGTGCGCACATAAACCTTGAGGTCCAGAGGTTAGGAAAAGATGCACCTCAGGGGAATAAAATCGGGGGAGAAGAGGTGTGTGTGTGTGTGTGTGTGTGTGTGTGTGTGTGTGTGTGTGTGTGTTGTTGTTGTTGTTGTTGTTGTTGTTGTTGTTGTTGTTGTTGTTGTTGTTGTTGTTCAAGCAGGTTAACACCTGGGACATCTTTCGACGTCTTATGGTACCCCGCGGCCGGGAGTCGAACAACCGTCTTGCCAGAACAGCGGCGTATAGCTTTTGTTCTGATGTAACAGAACTTGTAATAGAGTAGCTGAAATATCACGGCGGGGGACACCAGAAATATGCTTCACACACTGAGCCCATATGGGGAATCGAACACGGTCTTCGGCTTGACGAGCCAACACCTGAATCACTACGCTACCCCACCGCCCCAGTTAAACAGTATAATACACCAACTGCTGGAGCACAGGTGGCACTGCCGTCTGTGGCTATGTAGAGTTCCGTCCCTTGGGTACGCCAGGACCCGATGATCGTGGGACTAAACTCGATCGTGTACGAGTATTTCGTAGCTTTGTAAGCACAACGCCCGTGCTTCTTAAGAGGCGACTAACGAGATCAGGTGGTCAGGCTCGCTGCCGGAGTTGACACATGTCATCGTGTCCCAATTGCGTAGATCGATGCTCATGCTGTTGATCACTGGATTGTTTGGTTCAGACTCGATTATTTACATACTACCGCCATATAGCTGGAATACTGCTGAGTGCAGCGTTATACAACAAACAAAACATACTTTCCTGGTATATGAGCTAAGTACGGTACATTCCAGGAAAATATCGAACAAGCAATGTCTATTCGATGGCGATTTATCGGATTCAGCTACCAATATATTTTTCATTGATTTTGTGATGATGCGTGTATTTGATACTTTGAGGTTGAGGTTCAAGTCAGATAACTTCTGAGTGACCTCACAGTGATAAGAAACAATGACACTCGCATGTCTCGGACGAACAGTTTTATAACGAAACTCGCGTTATGCATGCATTATCGCACTGACTCACTCCTCACTCACTCACTCACTCACTCACTTTATTAACCAAACCAGGAGTCAACATAATATAGACATCATGGATAAAGAAAAAGCACACACACGTGTATATTTTATTGCATGAAACTAGTATTTGGCCTTGATACCTTCTATCCAGCTGATGAAGGAGGACACACGTGTGTAGACACCAGGAGTCGCTTTGTCTCCACATCCATATCCCCACGAGACAATACCTGCCAGTTTCCACACACCTCCAGTCTTACACACCATGGGGCCACCAGAATCTCCCTAGAGAACGAGGAGCATTGACAGGTTCAGTAACTTACAAACCTGTTTGTGTTAAAGGTCACATGCAACCAAAAAATCAAACATAATTAAAACACAATTATCACTTATTCATGACATATAATATGCATTGCTGATTATGAAAAAACATATACACAAAATTATAAGCGTACAATAGCAAATCAAAAGTGCAATATTGTGTACTTCGGTTTACTTTCCAAGAAACGAAGCAGCCGGGATACCGAACCCAGTCGGAGCGGGTGGGTGTGCACTCAAGTGTAACGGCTGGTTCATTTGCAGATGCCCTCACGGCTCATTGTGTGTGTGTATATATAGAGATGCTGGGTTTTGTAAATACATGCTCAATGTTTGTGTATAACATTTTGCAATCAACAGACATCATAACATGTCCTGTGTACAAGTATCACACCTGCCTGTCTGTGTAATTACATAATGTGACAGAGACCGAACTCGGGTGAAATAGACAAATGAAATTATATAAACAGTTAAATCGGTAATCTACTGACATAACATATAAAAAGCTCGCGCCTGTCAAATATCAACAAAACATTAGAAAAATAGCTCACATCAAAGCCTTCACCGAGTATTCACCGCTAGCGAAGGTTTTCCGTCTTGAAATGTCGAACACCTAACTGGTTGACACATAGCTGAGTAGATCTAGATCCTAACAAGGTTCTTTTATGTAATGAGTAGATTATTTACTATTTGTTTTGATTAGACTACTCCTGCTCACGACCTTATATTAAATCCGGACAATCCGGACATCCGGACAATCCGGCAGCCCAGCGCAGCGCAACACAGCTGTTGAAACCAGTTTTCACCCCAAGCGCTGGGGTGAAGTTAGTGAATCATTTGAACTCCGATTTCGCGGGGTTTTTTTCATCGCGTTATTTTTCAACTTTATAAGTTGAATTTGCATTTTTGATGATTTGTATCTGTAAGTCCATACCGAAAGGTATCAGATTCTGCAAAGTTGTGTTTTACGTTGCATGTGACCTTTAATAAAATAACAAGAAAACGAGCAGTATATCTGGCCAGTTCATGCTTTTTAAAAAGGGAACTACATTTTCTGGCGATTGTGTTCAAGGAGTGATATTATTAACCTTTGACTTAGAGGAAGTTTGACCTGGTTGAAAAAGGAATTTCTTTCCCAAAACCAACGTAAAACGAGAATTAGACAGCGTCGCCCATATAACTAAATTTGAGGCTACATAACCACCGGTATACGTCCCCAATTTTCGTCAAACACAGTAAGTTATCCCCCTAATTGACAGGCAAAAACAGTTAAACACCGGTGTGTCGGACTTTGTTGTGTCATTGCGGTTATCTCGAAGTAAAATCATGGTCCCTTCGTATTCCATACTATTATTTTAGTTATCAGTTTGCGGATAACGGATACGAGGTAGTTTACGAAACGAACGAGGGATATTGTCTGCCTCGTATTGTCCACTGGGAGCAAAGGGCGGTGGGGTAGCCTAGTGGTTAAAACGTTCCCTCGTCACGCCAAAGACCCGGGTTCAATTCCCCACATGAGTACAAAATGTTTGAAGTCCATATCTGGTGTCCCCCGCCGTGATATTGATGGAATATTGCTAAAAACTACGTAAAACTCACTCACTCACTGTGAGCAATTGCAATGAACCCGGGGCATCCGATCGATAGCAACTAATCTGGCAGATCATACTAAAATAGCTTGGCTTTGAAGTCACTTAGGCTGATATCTCTACCCAGCTTTGTTATTACATCACCCAGAATAATATCCTCATGTAGGTTCGTCATCAACTTACTTGTAATATGTTCCTTATCTAGCTTTGAAATCAAAACACCCAGGATAAGATCTTAACCTAGTTTTGTAATCAGCTCACTTGAAAGACGACCCGCACCTTGCTTTGTAATCCACTCACCTGGAATCAGATACTAACCTAGGTTTTGAAACAGCAAACCTCGAATATAATCCTCATTTGATATTGTAATCACCTCACCTAGAATGGGATATTCATCTACTTGTGCTATGTATGCAACTCATATGAAATACGATCCTCAAGAGCTTTGTTATAAACTCACCTTGAATGAGATCCATGCCTAGTTTTGTAATCAACTCATCTCGAAGTATCACCACTCAGTTTTCAACCCACTCACCTGGCAAGCATCCTTCCCCCCTGCTGTAAGCCCAGCGCAGATGTTGTGGTCGAAGATGACGTTGCCGAGGTAGTATTTACACATGCTGTTGGTGATGACGGGGACATTTACCTTCTCGAGGTAACGAGTGCCAGGTCCGTCTAGATGAACGGAAAACAACAGTAAACTGATGACATGCAGTCCCTATACGTCACGCCAAACGTTTCTATACGCCTGAGGACAGAAGGCAGTACCTACACGTCACGCCAAACGTTTCCATACGTCTAAGAACCTAGAGCAGCCCCTACACGTCACGCCAAACGTTTCTATACGTCTAAGAACCTAAGGCAGTCCCTACACGGTACGCATAACGTTTCCATACGTCTAAGGACCTAAGGCAGTCCCTACACGTCACGCATAACGTTTCCATATGTCTAAGGACCTAAGGCAGTCCCTACACGTCACGCATAACGTTTCCATATGTCTAAGTACCTAAGGCAGTCCCTACACGTCACGCATAACGTTTCTATACGTCTAAGGACCTAAGGCAGTCCCTACACGTCACGCATAACGTTTCCATATGTCTAAGGACCTAAGGCAGTCCCTACACGTCACGCATAACGTTTCCATATGTCTAAGTACCTAAGGCAGTCCCTACACGTCACGCATAACGTTTCTATACGACTAAGGACCTAAGGCAGTCCCTACACGTCACGCATAACGTTTCCATACGTCTAAGGATCTAAGGCAGTCCCTACACGTCACGCATAACGTTTCTATACGTCTAAGGACCTAAGGCAGTCCCTACACGTCACGCCAGACGTTTCCATACGTCTAAGGACCTAATGCAGTCCCTACACGTCATGCCAAACGTTTCCATACGTCTAAGAACCTAGAGCAGGCCCTACACGTCACGCAAGACGTTTCCATACGTCTAAGGACCTAAGGCAGTCCCTACACGTCACGCCAAACGTTTCTATACGTCTAAGAACCTAAGGCAGTCCCTACACGGTACGCATAACGTTTCTATACGTCTAAGGACCTAGGGCAGTCCCTACACGTCAAGCCAGACGTTTCCATACGTCTAAGGACCTAATGCAGTCCCTACACGTCATGCCAAACGTTTCCATACGTCTAAGAACCTAGAGCAGTCCCTACACGTCACGCAAGACGTTTCTATACGACTAAGAACCTAAGGCAGTCCCTACACGGTACGCATAACGTTTCCATACGTCCAAGGACCTAAGACAGTCCCTACACGTCACGCCAAACGTTTCTATACGTCTAAGGACCTAAGGCAGTCCCTACACGTCACGCCAAACGTTTCTATGCGTCTAAGAACCTAGAGCAGTCCCTACACGTCACGCCAAACGTTTCTATACGTCTAAGGACCTAAGGCAGTCCCTACACGTCACGCCAGACGTTTCTATACGTCTAAGAACCTAGAGCAGTCCCTACACGTCACGCCAAGACGTTTCCATACGTCTAAGGACCTAATGCAGTCCCTACACGTCATGCCAAACGTTTCCATACGTCTAAGAACCTAGAGCAGGCCCTACACGTCACGCAAGACGTTTCCATACGTCTAAGGACCTAAGGCAGTCCCTACACGTCACGCCAAACGTTTCCATATATCTAGGAACCTAGGGCAGCCCCTACACGTCACGCCAGACGTTTCTATATATCTAGGAACCTAGAGCAGCCCCTACACGTCACGCCAAACGTTTCTATACGACTAAGAACCTAAGGCAGTCCCTACACGTCACGCCAAACGTTTCCATACGTCTAAGGACCTAAGGCAGTCCCTACACGTCACGCATAACGTTTCCATATGTCTAAGGACCTAAGGCAGTCCCTACACGTCACGCCACACGTCACGCCACGTTTCTATACGTCTAAGGACCTAAGGCAGTCCCTACACGTCACGCATAACGTTTCCATATGTCTAAGGACCTAAGGCAGTCCCTACACGTCACGCATAACGTTTCCATATGTCTAAGGACCTAAGGCAGTCCCTACACGTCACGCATAACGTTTCTATACGACTAAGGACCTAAGGCAGTCCCTACACGTCACGCATAACGTTTCCATACGTCTAAGGACCTAAGGCAGTCCCTACACGTCACGCCAGACGTTTCTATACGACTAAGAACCTAAGGCAGTCCCTACACGTCACGCATAACGTTTCCATACGTCTAAGAACCTAAGGCAGTCCCTACACGTCACGCATAACGTTTCCATATGTCTAAGGACCTAAGGCAGTCCCTACACGTCACGCCAAACGTTTCCATACGTCTAAGAACCTAAGGCAGTCCCTACACGGTACGCATAACGTTTCTATACGTCTAAGGACCTAAGGCAGTCCCTACACGTCACGCCAGACGTTTCCATACGTCTAAGAACCTAGAGCAGGCCCTACACGTCACGCAAGACGTTTCCATACGTCTAAGGACCTAATGCAGTCCCTACACGTCATGCCAAACGTTTCCATACGTCTAAGAACCTAGAGCAGGCCCTACACGTCACGCAAGACGTTTCCATACGTCTAAGGACCTAAGGCAGTCCCTACACGTCATGCCAAACGTTTCCATATATCTAGGAACCTAGGGCCTAGGGCAGCCCCTACACGTCACGCCAGACGTTTCTATATATGTCCAAGGACCTAAGACAGTCCCTACACGTCACGCCAAACGTTTCTATACGTCCAAGGACCTAAGACAGTCCCTACACGTCACGCCAGACGTTTCTATACGTCTAAGGACCTAAGGACTTTATTAACGCGCTTATTGTGAACCATAGTAATATTCCTACGAAATTATACAAACGAAAGTGAGTGTCATTCTGGTTTTCCAAAATCGGCATCTTCAGAGCCAAAAGAGTTTTCTTGTCATGATCCTATAATGATACAACCCAATGAGTCTCATCTAGAAATACTAAAGATACTAAAGCGACTTTTGTTTTCAACACAATCTCCTTCCACAATGATACACTTTTGCAAACAGTGTTATACAGGTTGTATGCCAGTTTGTTGTTTGGACAATGATTCATGCACCCCCTGGATCAGCCCCTAACAGGCCTAGATTACTATGCATATTGAGCCTGATGCAGATGTCAGGAGTTTTGGAACCAAAAGAACCTAATTCTCGATTCCATTCAGTTTTGTCTTCTGAATACGTTACTATAGATAAGGGTTACCATAGATACGGCGATGAAGACTTAACGCTGACTGGAATGGGTGACCCTTTGCGATCATACGGTGAACCCAATGCCCGTTCACGTTAAGTGTCGACTTTGACATGTGGTACCATTGATAACAACGGAGGATCTGTACTCAATACTCACCGAAGCGGGTGGCCCCCCATCCAGATACGGTGCAGACGACGTTGTCAAAGTCCTCCCCTGCGGCGGGAAGGCATGCAGGCTTCAACAGTTTACCCTGACTGACTGGCTGCGTGAGCTTCACCATGGCGATGTCGTGAGAATTCGATTTGGAGTTGAAGCTGGCGTGAGTGACGATGCGCTCAATCTTGTGCACCTGGGACTGGTAGACGTGGTAGTTGTCGATGCTGCCCATCACGACGTCCCATTTTCCCAAATCGCTACTATCAAAATAAAGGACATAAAACGAGTTAGTCTTCAGTCAAGCGGTCACATGATCGAATATGGATCCGCTAATCAAACTGACGATATCAACACCGCTACAGACGTAAAATTGAAACGTTTAGTGGGTCCCAATGGTAAACTATGCCTCCTATTCCTTAGTCATTCAGCGCAGCCTCGAGGTATGTTTACTGAAAAAGTCATCCCGAGTAAGTGGATGTTGTCTCCCCTGACTTAGTCATTCAGTGCATCCTCGAGGTATGTTTACTGAAAAAGTCATCCCGAGTAAGTGGGTGTTGTCTCCCCTGACTTAGTCATTCAGTGCAGCCTCGAGGTATGTTTACTGAAAAAGTCATCCCGAGTAAGTGGGTGTTGTCTCCCCTGACTTAGTCATTCAGTGCATCCTCGAGGTATGTTTACTGAGAAAGTCATCCCGAGTAAGTGGATGTTGTCTCCCCTGACTTAGTCATTCAGTGCAGCCTCGAGGTATGTTTACTGAAAAAGTCATCCCGAGTAAGTGGGTGTTGTCTCCCCTGACTTAGTCATTCAGTGCATCCTCGAGGTATGTTTACTGAAAAAGTCATCCCGAGTAAGTGGGTGTTGTCTCCCCTGACTTAGTCATTCAGTGCAGCCTCGAGGTATGTTTACTGAAAAGTCATCCCGAGTAAGTGGGTGTTGTCTCCCTGACTTAGTCATTCAGTGCAGCCTCGAGGTATGTTTACTGAAAAAGTCATCCCGAGTAAGTGGGTGTTGTCTCCCCTGACTTAGTCATTCAGTGCAGCCTCGAGGTATGTTTACTGAAAAAGTCATCCCGAGTAAGTGGGTGTTGTCTCCCCTGACTTAGTCATTCAGTGCAGCCTCGAGGTATGTTTACTGAAAAAGTCATCCCGAGTAAGTGGGTGTTGTCTTCCCTGACTTAGTCATACAAGCAGCTGAGTAGTTAACTGACAGGAACAGCCTGCGGAGTTGAGAGTTGTCTCCCCTGATAGAGTAATCACGAGTGATGATTGGTTGGTTGGTTTGTTGTTTAACGCTACACTCAGCAATATTCAAACCATACAGTGGCGTTATGTAACTGAGTCTGCACCAGACAATCCAGTGATCAACAGCATGAGCATCGTTCTACACAAATGAGATACGATGGCATTTGAGAATTATCGCCACTAGTTCAGTCATCCTTAGATGGTGTTTACACTGGTGTATTACGGAAAACAGCCTATTCTGTGTTCACATCAATAAGCCAGAAACAGTGTCAAAGGTTCAACGTACAGAGACTTAAGATAGGATGCGGTGGGTAGTGCACAGATCCCTTTAACCTTGGAGTCAACTTTGTATGCAGACTCTTTCAGTGTTGTCACAACCACTAATGTACAGTACACAGCCCTGTGCACTTAAAAGAACCCACGAATCCGTTGGTATTTGACCAGATGGTGGCCACATGAATACGTGCAAACACCTAGTTGCGGGTACAGCAACGTGCAGTGAACATGGACAAAGTACTGTGACTATGTGTCCCAGTCCACCCAGCTGTGAATGGGTACCTCGTTAGGATGAGAAGGCCATAATAACTCGGTGCGCCTAGTGGCTGCAACGAGTTGTATACTCCCCAGGGAGTTGAGATTGATAATGCGATGTGCCGTTGAGATTGACATCCAATGATCGAGGGAAAAAATACCAGCGCATTGAGCATGCACTAGTGCGTGGATATGTGCGCTATATAAATATCCTATAATAATAATAATAATAATAATAATAATAATAATAATAATTAACAGTATAAGGACATAAGTACAGTTGTGTCGGGGTATATATCTGTAACAAGGAATAAATATCCATACTCTTCGAAACAGTGAGCAGCAGTAGCGATCCACTGGTCGTCGATCAGGGTTCCTCCACACATGTGTCCTTGTCTGTACTGAAGGGACACCTGAACCAACACAGCAGGGACAGTGGGTTAGTCAGTGAGAAGTGGGGGTGAGTGGTGGGTGGGTGAATGAGTGGGTGAGCGAGTGGTTTGAGGCAGTGAGTGAGTGAGTGAGTGAGGGGGTGAGTGTGTAGGTGAGTGTCTCGGTGGATGGATTATTGAAGGGTTGAGTGAGTGGGTGAGTGTGTTGGTGAGCGGATTATTGAAGGGTTGAGTGGGTGGGTGGGTGCGTGTGTTGGTGAGAGGATTAGTGAAGGTTGGGTGGATCGATGAGTGTTTTGGTGAATGGATTAGTGAATGGTTATGTGGGTGAGTGAGTGTTTTGGTGTGTGAATTAAGGGTTGATGGTTTGAGTGCGTGGGTGAGTGAGAGAGGGTGGGTGGATGGGAGATTTGATAATGGTGTGTAGGTAGCGTGACAGTGATGTGATGGTTTCGTGATAGTTTGTGATGGTGTGGAGCGGTCTGTGGTAGTGTTGGTATGGTGTTGATAATGTTTTGTCGATTGTGAGATAATGTGTGATGGTGTTATGATGGGTGTGCGAAGGTGGTATTTTGGGTATGTAGGTGTGATGGAGTGGACTACCGTACCTGCCATGGGAACTCCCCAGCTGCAGCTGTAGATCCTCCAACTATCCTGCTGACATCGGGGACGCCACACTGCCCTGTCAACGACATACCGTCACGTGCATCACAGGCATTGACAAACAACGACATACCTTCACGTACATCACAGGCATTGACAAACAACGACATACCGTCACGTACATCACAGGCATTGACAAACAACGACATACCGTCACATACCGTCACGCATACCGTCACACATCACAGGCATTGGCAAACAACGACATACCGTCACGTACATCACAGGCATTGACAAACAACGACATACCGTCACGTACATTACAGGCATTGACAAACAACGACATACCGTCACGCACATCACAGGCATTGGCAAACAACGACATACCGTCACGAGCATCACAGGCATTGGCAAACAACGACATACCGTCACGTACATCACAGGCATTGGCAAACAACGACATACCGTCACGTACATCACAGGCATTGACAAACAACGACATACCGTCACGTACATCACAGGCATTGACAAACAACGACATACCGTCACGCACATCACAGGCATTAGCAAACAACGACATACCGTCACGTACATCACAGGCATTGACAAACAACGACATACCGTCACGTACATCACAGGCATTGACAAACAACGATATACCGTCACGCACATCACAGGCATTGGCAAACAATGACATACCGTCACGAGCATCACAGGCATTCGCAAACAACGACATACCGTCACGTACATCACAGGCATTGGCAAACAACGACATACCGTCACGTACATCACAGGCATTGACAAACAACGATATACCGTCACGTACATCACAGGCATTGACAAACAACGACATACCGTCACGTACATCACAGGCATTGGCAAACAATGACATACCGTCACGCACATCACAGGCATTCGCAAACAACGACATACCGTCACGTACATCACAGGCATTGACAAACAACGACATACCGTCGCGTACATCACAGGCATTGACAAACAACGATATACCGTCACGCACATCACAGGCATTGGTAAACAACGACATACCGTCACGAGCATCACAGGCATTCGCAAACAACGACATACCGTCACGTACATCACAGGCATTGACAAACAACGACATACCGTCACGTACATCACAGGCATTGACAAACAACGACATACCGTCACGTACATCACAGGCATTGACAAACAACGACATACCGTCACGTACATCACAGGCATTGACAAACAACGACATACCGTCACGTGCATCACAGCATACCAGGCATTGACACACAACGGCAGAAAACACACGAACCCAAGTCCACACAAATTACATAATTACAATTAAAGCACATAAATTGATCAAGGGTTTTGAATTATACACGAGAAATACAAAGCACAACCAGACATTTCACTCTGATATCTTCAAACTGAAAGATTCTACATTGCAATTATGTCAAGAGGAAGAAGAAGTTGAGAAGCCTATGTCTTACTGGTGTTTGTAAATTTGCAGTTTCGAAACACACCCATTTAGAAACCGAGTAGAGTGGTGTTACAATTGCCAACCGACGCTTGTCGTAAGAGGAGACTAACAGGACAGGGTGGCCAGGCTCGCTGACTTTGTAGACACACGTCATCGTATCCCAATTACGTAGATCGATGTTCACGCTGTTAGTCACTAGATTACTTACAAACTCCCGCCATAGAGCTGGATTACTGCTCAAAGCGACGTTAAACACGAAAAAACAAACAACCAAAAAAACAAAATATCATTCAGACAGCATTTACATCATGGCGGGCAACCAAGAGTACCCGTATGTAAAACTAGTTCCTCACCATTTCCGTGGGAGACATGTCCGGGTGCCTGAGTGGCATGCGTGGTGCTGGGGTCTGGGTAGCAGCAGAAGCTGAGGAATCCGCAGTGGCTCAGAGTCTGAAGTTCTCCGGGGTTACAGGATGACCCGAACAGACCACGGCAGTGACCGCCATATTGAGTCTCGCATTCTGGAACACCAGAATCCCATCAGTAATGTCTGAACAAGTTACATCTATGCATGACTTTTCAAAGGCCAGACCAAAGGCAAAGTCTATCATATACCCTGCAACATCTCGTAGATACTACTGACAACGAATCGCTGCTGATGATGTTCATCACTGGATTGTCTGGACCAGACTGAATTATGTACATATAGCCATATAGCCTTTTGATTATTTACCGACTGCCGTCGTATGGCTGAGTGAACCCACACAAGCAAGGTTAGAATTAATCTTCAGTAAACCTTGCTAGACATAAGAGGAGTCGGATGCCAAACTAAAGGAAGTGTTGACAGGCTTGCTGACTTAGCCTGTACGCGTCATCGTATCATTGATCATATTGCTAACACACTTCTATTCTATTTCACACTACAGTTGGAGTTTCTATTCCATTCTCAGTGTACTGTCATTGTAATTACGTTGCAGTAATTTGTATTGATAAGTAAACATACTTAATTTCAAAATGCAATAATTTGGAGAATTATTTTGTTGTTGCCCCATGATTGTTGGTTGGCTTCATGCTAATTCTTTTGAGTACACATGCTCAACAAAAAACAGTGAAAGGACCACCTCAATATTCAATATTTAAGTTCTATATGGATCATAATAGGAAATATGAGATACTAAAATATTGATAACTGGGGTAGTCCTTGACTTTGTTGGTCAGTATATTTCATGGTAAACTTATTGTTTCAATTTTTTGCCTAACAAGGGGCTCGTCCGCAATCCAATCTTACATACCACAAATTTTTTGGATTAACATTAGGGCTGTGTATTGCCCCAATTTCGTATTGCAATATATTGCGATACACTCTTCTATTGCGATACGTATTGCAATATATTGCGATACACTCTTCTGTATTGCGATACGTATTGCAATATATTGCGATACACTCTTCTGTATTGCGATACGTATTGCAATATATTGCGATACACTCTTCTGCATTGCGATACGTATTGCAATATATTGCGATACACTCTTCTGTATTGCGATACGTATTGCAATACATTGCGATACACTCTTCTGTATTGCGATACGTATTGCAATATATTGCGATACACTCTTCTGTATTGCGATACGTATTGCAATATATTGCGATACACTCTTCCGTATTGCGATACGTATTGCAATATATTGCGATACACTCTTCCGTATTGCGATACGTATTGCAATATATTGCGATACACTCTTCTGTATTGCGGTACATATTGCAATATATTGCGATACACTCTTCTGTATTGCGATATGTATTGAGATATATTGCGATACACTCTTCTGTATTGCGATACGTATTGCAATATATTAAGAAAGAACAGTTATTGAGATCTGTCCACTTGGTAATATTCTTTTACATTCAAATTGAATCACAGTATATGTGAGTAACCACTGAATAGAATAATGAAAACAAAACAACAATGAAACATGAGAAACCTAACCTTACAATAAGATAGAAGCCTTTGTTTATCAAGGAAAATATCAGCTCGGGAAGCATTATTGCTATGTCATATACCATTTAATTTTTTTAGGTCTAATCCAACTGTTGATAAATACAGAAGGTAGGTTTATCATATTATTCAAATAATACAACTTCAACTTAAATACATTCATTTCTAATAGTAATTTCAAATTTACACACTTAAAATGTCTATATAAACCACGAAGGAGACGTAAACTCCAGCTATTGTAATCCATTTGTAAGATGCCATAATATCCTCTTACCTATTTCTTTTATATTTAATTTTTACGTAATCAGAAAATTATTATATAAAGATTAATTAAATAATATGTATGGTCACCTATTTCCCGATAACCGTGGCTTTTCACCCGATAACATGACACAATATTGGGAAATGCCTCCGTTTTCGAAGCTCCGTATGAACAACACTCTAGAAGATTCATTTGATGGCGGGTATTGTTCCAAAACTCTAACCATCAATAATATCACAGTAACCTTGCCAGGTTTTTATTGGATAAAGATTGGTTTTCTAATGACGCTTTTTCGCCACAGTCTGCTATAAGGTTCGTGATTTGTAAAAATCATGCATGTAAGCCAATCAGATTACAGCAATGGATACGGTCCTCATAAACGAAAACTTTTAGACAAATGTTTTGGGTACAATAATGCTATTCTGAACGTGTTAAGCAAGAAATCGCCATATATACGTAAATTATGGAACTTGTTGGACGTATCCTCCTAGGTGGTGACCTGTGACAATATTCTTTATGCAAATGTTTTCTCATTAAACATCGTGTCTGAGCATGACGATCCAGGTGACGAAAGTCGAGATGTGACTTGACTAACATAACATGATCGCACGAAAAGATGGAAATATCAACTTATTTTACGTTTGACAATGTTTATGAAAACTGTTGATTTTATTCATTAGTTTATTCAATTTTAATGATTTACTCGAAACGTCCATACTTTGCTCTTTGACAATTCTTAAGTGGACCCGTAGCCAGTCATTTGGAAAGACTTTCACCCAATCCACACCCACCACCACCCATATTACCTGAATATACATATATATATATTTCCTCACCATTACAATTTAGGGGGTATACGGGTGGAAGTCTTATGTGCGGTGTTGAATGGGTTAAAATTGAACAAATAAATCTTTGGCGGTATACCGGTACGTCATAAACGTATCGCGATACGTAATTGTTACAAGTTCGTATTGCGGTTTACCGGTATACCGGTAGTACCGTGCAGCCCTATTTAACATTATATTATCAAATATTGTGTGAAAGCAACAGTCAATGTGTTAAAATATTGTTGCCAGCAAACTTTCTACAAACCGGGGCCCCGTTCACAAGCTTTCGTAGCGCTACGACTGTCGTAAGTCTATTTTACTGTATAAGAGGTACGGCAGTCGTAGCGCTACGATAACTTTGTGAAACGGAGCCCAGGTCTGTGTGCATCAAAATTCTGAACTGATGGTACTGTCCAAATGTTACTAACATGACATCGACTCAGGCATGCTTGAAGAAAATCTGCATGACTTTACTGGATGCAGGTGCTCAGCGAGCCAATTTTGTCGTGTAGGCTCGCTAGGTTGCAAAGCTTTTTAGTTACATAGTATTGAGGGCTGCCCAACTTTCATTTTCAAAATCATGTGTAAGCCCGGGCTTTTTGATAATGGTAGCTACGCCTCCCGGGTGAGGGAGCAGTTTTCGCTAATTGGCTATTTGTGACTGAAAAAAGTATTATCGAGAGAATATGTTATTGTGTTGCAACTCTTTCAAGCTGAATAGGAAAGAGGGAGAATTTCAGTGTGCAATTACAAATTCAAGCTGATTAAGAACTTAAGCTTTAAACAAATAATACACAGACACTGTGAATACCTCAACAGGTGATAGACCGTTTGCTCCTTCCTAGAAGATAACACTTGTCTCACCCTTCTCTGAACTGGTTCTCTCAGTTTATGTACAAAGTTGTAAAGCTGCTAAGAAAAGGGATGGTTCTACGTTTGGTGAGACAACAAGGATCTGATATGGGTGTGCGTTCAAATGGTGATTTTTCCACACCTAAAATACTTTTGTGGCCTTGCTTATTGGCAATGATTTTACAGGGGCGAAATGTTTGGCTAACCCAGTTGTTTGTTATGTGCTCAGCACTTCCGAAAGTACTCGAAATCTTGAAAACAATCCATGTATTTCTCCTTCCCGTGTTGTTAGTCGTGCTAAAACCAGGCACATTTCTGTTCATTCCAGTTATGCTTTGGCAGGCACTTCCAGAGCTACAGATAAGTGTTTGGGTCATTGAGTTATGTACTCGCTTGTGTTCATCTCAAATGGGTATCCTAATATTCCTTTGACGAACCAAATAAATTGTACTCACTCAAACACATTTGGGTATTTTGACATTTTCCATTTATTGCAACATTGTATGTACGTAAATAAAGCGTGTGTTTACACTTTTGGGACTAATGACTTCCTGCCTCGTTGTTTGAACGCCATCTTTCAACAAATAGTCACATGGTAATGTACTCCTAACAGCGCTGTAACATCAGTAACGATAGCTACATAGGCATCGCTGACGGGGAACGGACACTGCCTAGGTGTGCATGCGCTTCAGTCACTGAAGCTGAGATTGTGACTGAAGCTAAGATTTGACATTTTTGTGTGTGTACGCATGTAAGATTGATTCAAATCCTGATTTTCTTGGAATCATTGCCACTGTAGGTACGACATTGTTGTTATTACCACTTCTATTGTATTATCTACTACCATTATAATTATAATGCCATTGAAATTTCCATTGGCGCTCTCTTGTGTGCTGCCATTTCAGTTAATCCGCAGTAATCCAATAGACCTAAACAAAATATGCCCAATGTTTTGATGATAAAATTGTTATTTCTTGGCTGTTTGCTAGTTTCACGCTAAATTTGTGAATCCTCTAGAATTCAGGGTTTCAGTATTGTTTTGAATTTAGAAATCGAATCGTAATATTTTTCCAGTTCTAGACATCGTATATCAGCGATATTCTTTGTCAGTACTCAGTGAATACACGTTGGTGGTTTTTAAAGAAGGATACTAACGGAAACATTGTTTTTCATAGAGGTAAAGACATGCTAAAAGTCACCTTCCGTGAATGAAAACTGAAAAAAAAGTTTGTAAACACACGAAAACGCACTCGTATTTCCGCCTGTTACGGAAACACCCGACAGATAATGAGCAGAGGTGGTGTCACGTGACGTGACGTCATATGTGCCTCTTGTTAATGGCTCCTTCTTTGATTTTACCTCACGACTTAACAGTGTCCGTGGATTCTGAAGCAATAAAAGATGTTCCTGAGGTCATTTCTGAAATGGATGTTAGACCGTATCTATACGGTCCGATTTTACACCTTTCAAGACAAACTTCCAGTGAAGATGCAGCATTTGGGGCTACAAACCGGAACGAACATTACAGCGGAACATTTTCAAGCTCATGGTGAAATCTCTGACTGATTTTATTACTGTTGTATATTTCATCCGAATCGGACTTTATTTAATCTACTTTACAAATACCACTGTCAGTAAGCTGTAACGTGAGACGATGAAGTATAAATGAATCTCGCGGGTAGTGCTT